CCCCGAATGTTACCCCAGAGCTGCGTTACCCCAAATGTTACCCCAACCAGCTAGTGCGTCGGTCTACTTTTTTCCATCCCTACAAAAAATCTGCTTTTTTGGATTTCAGGTTTACTTTTTGGTGCATGTTGCTTTTTGGTTTGTGGTGGTGCGGAATGCTTTTTGGGGCGGGCGACTTTTTAGAGGTTAAGCTTGATTCCGTGGTGCGGTATACTTTTTTGGGCGGACTACTTTTTTGAGGTTGGGTTTGATTCCGTGCTGCGGTATACATTTTTGGGCGGAGTAGTTTTTAAAGGCTAGGCTGGATTTGGGGTTTGTTGGTCTCCGAGTGTACAGGGGTTCATAGGTGTCGACGGGTTTTGGCTTTGAGGTTTCGGGGGCTCTTGGGCTTATATAGGGGTGTACGGGGGGTTTACAGGCCTTCTCGGGGATTTAGGGGGTTCGGGATGTAGGGGTGTAGGTATTTTGGGCTTCAATTGGGGTTTCTAAGGGGTATAAAGTACGGGTTTAGGAGTTTTCGGTTTTGTGCTATACTGGTATGTATGCATGTAGAGAGAGAGGGGTTTAGGGGCTGCCACGGGTTAAACTCAGGTTTAGCTAGAGTCTTAAGGGGTGGGGTGGGTTTATGGGGCTTTTCGGGGCTTTGGGGGTTTATATAGGGGGGGTTCAGAGATTGAGGGAGTTCAGGGATGTGCAGGGGTTCGGGTTCAGGGGTTTGTAAGGGATATACAGTATACTCGCCAGGCACCGCTGCATCCTGTCAGCTTCGGCCAATGCACATATGTTATACATTCATATAAGGTGTCTGTGTGTAGGTACTCTGGTCTATAGAAATATATATAGGGTCTTTACAGGGTTTCTAAGGCTCTTCTCAGGGTTTGTGCCCACCCGAATGTAGGCGCACATGCACTATACGCAAAGTAGTAGATAAGCCTCCTGTAGCCCTTACAGCCCTTACAAGCCTCTAGCCTCCTGCAGCCCTTACCAGCCTTATATACATATAGAGGAAGCCAGATGCCGAAGCCTAATTAAATCCCGCCGTGCTCTTCATGGTGGCCGAATTCGGAATGTTGGAGGTGCGCCCTTTCCCACGACTGCATGCCGCTTTTGTTGCTGCTCACATGCTGTGCATGGTGCTTGGTGTGCTGGGATGTGATATGTGCTCTTGGCTGGATTGGTAAACCCCCGCTCCATAGCTGTTTTTCCTCACGACAACACACGTGGCATTTCAGAGGTCACTTTGCAGGGACACCATGTGCAGACAAGGTGTTCAAGAGCACCGGTTCAGGAGTGCATGCATGCAGTGCTTTTCTCGTGCAGTGCTACAGTGAGTGCTCCGCCTTTGGGGGCCATGGCAAAGCCCGCTTCGGTGCAGGATTTGCACCTGTGCTGGCTGAAGGATAGATCCGTCGTTTCACGGGTGGATCAAGGAGGGCGCCTGTTTCATAGCAGGGATGGGCTCTTTGCAGAAGCTTCCGAAATGCATTGTGTGGAAAACCGGGCCATACTACAGCCATACATGATTCGGATGCGCAGGGCTAGATCTTTGGACATCCCAGACCTCGAATCCTTGAAGTCAGAGCTCATGCTTCTGCACCAATGCCGCCTCAATCAGAAGCAAAAGAATGGGAAAAAACCTCAGGCACTGTTGCAGGCCAGTTTGGAATTGGTGCAAGGCGACGTTCACCTTGATGGCAAGACCTTGAAACGCCTCCTGAGCTACGCCCGCCACCGCTTTCTTAAGATCAAGAATGGGAACATGAGCAGTATCAAAGAGACTTTGTTGCAGTACAAATGAATTTCGAGTTTGAGGCGCCTTGATCGAGGCATGCATGTGGTGTTGGTGTTAATTGGCCTTGTAGTGCTCAGCAAATGTGCTCAGAACTGGGACTTCGCAGACTTGTTGAGTCTTTGGGGTGACAGGGCCTCCTACCTGCAATTAAAGGGTGCATGCATGGTTTGTATCATGTCGCAGACTCCCTTGGTATCGATCTGTAAGGACAACTACAGCTCCAGTGGTAAGAAGAGCCGTTGGGATGTGCAGGAAGATGAAGCTGCAGGTGTCCATGATGCTATGCAGGAGAATGATGAAGGGGAGGAGGAAGAGGAGTTGGAAGAGGATGAAGAAATCCCTTTAGAGGATCTTCCCTGTGAGCCAGTACGCGAGAATCCTCGCAGCAAGGCAGTGAATCCCCCCAGCAAGGCAGTGAATCCCACCAGCAAGGCAGTGAATCCCACCAGCAAGGCAGTGAATCCGTCCAGCGAGGCAGTGAATCCACCCAGCAAGGCAGTGAATCCACCCAGCAAGGCCCATAGCTTCGCCAGTGACAGAAGGCCCTTTCATGATGACAGCCGCAGGTCCATGACTAGTTTGGCAAGCAATGCTTCTTTGGCTGCGACAGTGATAGAGACACCGGAGCGGCTAGTGAACCCCATCGTCCCAAAAGATGGGATGCTGACCCCATCACCTGTTTCGATGAATGTTGTGACGAAGGAAGTGCTTCTGGTGGTCGATTCACCACTGAAGGTTGTTAAGGAGGAGCCGCGAACGAGCCAGGAACATGCCGACGGCCAGGCTCCGCTGCCTCTTTTTGATCGGGAGGCTGCACTCCAGGAGCTGGCGATGCTTGAGGCGAGTCTGCTTCGAAGCTGAATAAGTTCATGCATGTAGCGCTTTTTGATGCCATGTGTGTTATCAGCACTTACAAGCATGCATGCATGCATGTGTTCTTTTGCGACAGCCAAGTTTACATATTGATTCTGCCCGTGTGCATGATCCCAAAGCCGTGGCAGGGCTCCTTCGATTCTTGGTCGGGTTGTTGATGGGTTTGAATGCATGCATGATGTTTGGATGGCTAATGAAGGTTTCATTCAAATTCATGCAATTCCCTGTGCATTGTGCAATGCAGCATGATTCCTGCCAGAGTTTAGGACAACCGCACTTCGAGATGATCGATAATCTGGAGACGCAGGTGGCAACGGAGAGCCAGCTGATGGAGGCAGCTGCACAGCTTGCAAAGGACAAAACCCCTGAAAGGCTGGCAGCTGTTCCTGGTCCAAGAACCAATCAATCGATCGGGCTGAGTTGTTTTGTTGAGGATTTGCATGGTAGTGTGCCCCAACAATCAAGAAAGTTATTGCCGGCCACAAGGTTACCAATGGGGAGGACGGCTTGCAGGAGGAGACTGGGATTCCTGTTCAAGAGCAGGTGGGTGTGCCGAATGCACCTGCTTAGTGACCGCATTAGTGTTGTGCAGAGTCTTGCTGTTTGTGATGGTTTTGCCAGGGTTCCCATTAGCATCCGAGGCTGTGTCTGGGGACCCTGAACCTACTGTGCCTCCCGCCGTGGCCGTTGAAACGGCGAGTGTGGCTGATCCGCTTGCTCAATGGCCTCATTTGTGAACAGTCCTGTTGTTGATGATGGTTTTGCCAGGGTTCCCACTAGCATCTGAGGCTGTTTCTGGGGAGCCTGAACGTGGACCTATTGTGCCTTCCGCTGTGGCTGTTCCAGAGGCGGTGACGAGTGTGCCTGATCCACCTGCTCAGTGGCCGATTTGTTCACAGTCATGTTCGTTTGTGATGCTTTGGAGAGGGTGCTCATTCGAATGATCTATCCTGTATATATAATATAAAGCATCCGAGGCTGTGTCTCGGGAAGAGCAGTTGTGTGCTCGTCAGAAGAGAAAGGACGTGGCAGCTGAAAAGAAGGCTAAGAAAGCAGAAGAGAGGGAAAACCAAAAGGATCGCAGAACAGCTGCTAAGAGCAAGCCCAGCAAAGCAGCTGAAGCCCCACCAGACCCGGAGCCTGAGCAAAATGAGGAGGCTGCTGAGGCTGAGGATGAAGGGCACCAGGAATCGGGTGGAAAAGGAACACGTGGCCGTGGCCGTGGGCGCGGCCGGGGTGGCGGGCGTGGAAAGAAAAAGCTTGCAGATGACAACAAGGCTAAAGGTGTTGAAGCTAAGGCTAAGGATGAGGGGCGCCAGGAATCACGTGAACCGGGAACACGTGGCCGGGGCAATGGACGTGGCAGGGGTGGCAGAGGCAAGCGTGCCAAGAGTTCGGCAACAAAGGAGGACAAACCTGCCAAAAGGCTCCGGGGAAAGCAAGCAAATCGTGCGGGTGAGGCACCAGAGGAAGAGATGCCCCAGGAGCCCAAGATCACCAAGAGGAGGAGGAAGGGTGACCTTGCCTTGATTTTGGAGGAAGGCAAGGCCAGAGCAGCGAGCAAGAAAGCAGCAAGGGAGGCAGGCATCTCCCCTGAAGAGGAGGTGCTCCGATTGATGTCACGGAAATCGCGGGGTCTTTGTTTGTGCAAAGGATTTTAGATTGTCGCGCAAACCGTCATGCCATGGATGTGTGTCTGCATGTGTGTATACGTGTGTCTGCTGCTCTGAAGGAAAAAAACCGGTGCAAAGCCCTGATCTTGAAGACCAATGGCACCCTCCAGAACTACACGTTGATGGTTTATTGGTCGCGGCCTGGTGTTGGCATCAAAGAAAATGAGGGAAGCAAGCAGGCTATCCTGTGCTATGCAGTGCTGCATGCTAGTTCAGGATTGGCCTTGTGTTGGGATTGTGATTGTTCGTATGCTGTTGTGCCCGATGCAGGTTTTCTACCTTGGAACGAAAGGTGTGTCCCTGACCCACTTGGTGGATGCTGCTGTGGCATGTGTGCTTCAGCTGCTCTGTGGTTCATTCTAGAGGTAGAGCGACATGGCTGCTTTCTCATTATCCAGTATTACGTGATCAGACTGCGATTCTCCAATTGCACGGTGCTAGGCAAAGTTCTTGGACGAGAATGGTGGCGAGGATGACAACCAAAGAACGGCCCAGTTTCTTTATGCGAAGAAGCAGGAGATCAAGGATTTGGCTACGAAGTGGGAGCTTCCGGAGCTGTCCAAACGTGGCAAAGCCACGTCCTGATTTTCGGCTGCTAGAGCGCTTTTCGGGGGCCAATGAACTGGCTGAATCAAGATAGATGTGCTTAGATTGCTTGTGTGGGTTTCATGGGCATAGCCTGGAGTGGGAAGATTGCTTTGGTCCCATATAATCAGGCAAGGTGAAAGATTGTTTTCGAGGCCCCGGGCCACAATGCTACTAAAATTATCACTGCAATCTTCCACTGCAGTGCACATGACTGGGAAACAGGCTGCAACACGTCTGTTGCCGATGCAGCTGGTGCCTTTTCGTTCCATCGCAAGCAGAGTGACTTGTGAGATTCAAGCAGTTTCATTTCGAGCAGCCGTGCAAAGAAAATGCATTCTGTTTGGCAACACAGTTCTGCAGCGATGCCTCTCGAAGCATGCCTCAATCCTGCTGCTTTGCCTTCTGTCGATTCGCAGGTCTTCCTTGGTGGTGCTGCTGAGCTGTGCTGGAGCTTTCCGGTGCAGAGGCTGGGTTTGTGCAGTATAGTACATGTGTGTACTGCAGTTAATTGCTTTTGATGTTTCTGGGTCAGTGGTATTGGGCTTCCGTGATGCCAATGCTATGTCAGTGCAGTGTGAGTCATCTTTCGGCTGCAAGCACACATCTGCTTAGCATGTTTTGCAGGTCTTCGTGGATCTATCTATGCCCGTGCCAAAGTCCCTCAAGGGCCGAGTGCTGGAGTCTTCACTTGGCCAAGCAAAACCCAGCCTGCGACCAGCCGACATGATTGCTCTGGTTGTTCAAGGGTCTCCCGGGTGGGTGTATGGGGCTGGAAAATCTAGAGGCCCACACAGGTTTCTAGGGGGTCGATGTAAGGCTTGTCAGGCGCAATTTTCTCGGTGTTTGTTTCGGTGAGTGTGTCATGTATGTGAGTTAGGGCTAGTGGTTGAAATATCGCAAAGAACAGTCTCTTACCTGTTGCGGTTTTTTATAGCCGAATCTACACTATCTATCGATCTAGAGACACCCTAACTGCCCTAACTGCCCTAGCTAACCGACCTTGCAGAAACCACTATAAAAGTATAAGCCCTACAAACCCTATAAACCCTTGCAAGAACTTGATAAACCTATAAAGCTTCGATCTCTCTCTCTCTCTCTCTCTCTCTCTCTCTCTCTCTCTATGTATATATTATACACATATATATATATATCATCATCATCATCATCATCATCAAAACCCAGTATGCTGGTTGCCAATTCCTCTGAGTCAACTTGTATTTAATGCAGTTTTGCTGTGCTCGAACACCGGGCAGCCTGTGATGCCATCATGATCCCAGCGGCGCGGTGAGGGTAGCATCTCTACAGGGCTAGGCGGTTCTGGTGGTGCTTTGCAGGCCTTAATTTTGATCCTATTAAATATCGTGCCTGGGAGTTATATAAGTAGATGGGGCTTTAGGTTGTTATGTGTCTAGGGGGCTTCTACTTATCCAGGCCTTAGAAGACCCAGAATGTTCTATTTCTAGATGGGTTTTAGCTTGTTGTGGGTATATGTGTGGTTCTACTTATTGAGGCCTTAGAAGACCCAGTTGTTATGGGTATATGTGTGGTTTTGCTGATCGAGGGCTTACAAGGCCTAGAATGTTCTATTATACTAGTAGATTGGGTTTTAGGTTGTTATGGGTATGTATATATATATATGTGGTTCTATTGATCGGGGGCTTATAGGGTCTACAGGGGTGACCACAGCCATGTGGAGCGATGACAAAGTCCGTGTGCTCTTCCACAGACTCCAGCAGCTCCATGCCCCGAAGGCAGGTGGATGAAGCCTGCATACAGTAGAGTCAGTAGAGCTAGGTTGTCTTTCAATTGCATGCATGCATTCTACCCCACTCAAACACTAACCTATCAAACGCAGGTTCTGATCTTGGCAATTTTACTTCTGCTATGGTCAGAGAATGTTGCAATCCAGACAGATGACACTTTGGAAGCATTGAATGATTTGGCTGCTGTGTCAGACCAGCTAGGCAGTTGTGGAATGCCAATTTCATCGCTAAGGTACTCGAATGGCTGGAATACTTTGCAGGGGCTGCACAAGTGACTCGTCATGTCAAAGCATGTGGCTACAGAGCCTGCAAGTTCGATATTGAATATTGCACATCCTACAAGCACCAGAACTACATGGATCTTCTCACGCCTTCCGGGATGGCGCCACTCAGCTCCAGCTGGATCAGAGCCTCAAATCCCACAAACCATGATGTCAGATCGCTAGCTTGCTGCTTTACCTGAGGCTTGCAATGGCTGGGGTCCTCTCAGCTGTGCAGGGCAAATGTGTGGTGTGGTTTGGGCTTTTGTGCTCAAGTTTCACGCTAATGAACATGGGCTACTCCAAAAGATCTTACCTTGTGCCTCTGGGGAATACTGCTCAACGAAGTGTTGCTGAGTCGAATACTTTGGCATCCAGGACCGATCTTAATTGTCCTCAAACACTGTTTGCATTGCTGTGCCTCGACCCTTGTTTCAGTTAAGTTGTACTGTGGGGCCCCACCGTCAGGACTGTCCTGCTCGTCATGATGGTGTTGGCTCTGAATGGAGTGTTCATAATCGAACAACCCGCACTCTCCTGGTTCGAACGTTTTCCTCGCTTCCGAGAGATCTGCAAGATTACCAAAGTTTGGCGAGTTTCTTGGTACATGCTGCACTATGGGTCCCCCACACCGAAGAGACACTATGCTTACTCTAACTCAGCTTGCATTCGCCACTTCAATCGCGGCAAACTACGAGGCTGGAAGAAAACGGTCTTACCGGGACGTCCCAAAAATGCCCGATACTACAGGGATGCCAACGGAAAGAGACGATGGGTCGGGACCAAGAACCTCAAGGGGACTGGGTCAAGGGCTGAGTATTGCATAAGTTAGTATTACACGGCTTTCAGTCCGAACTGTTGAAGTGCTGTACATGATTATACAGCTACCAACTTAAGGACCTATCCTGCACAATTTGGTGCTCGAGGGGCTTCGCTCATCGAGGAGATGAACGAATCCAAGGTATCCTTCGATGCTGAGATTCCAGCCGAGGCTTTTGTGGATTTGGAATTCAGGTCACCCTTATAGGGTTCTGAGGCTCCTAACCCTAAACCTAAACCTGCCCGATCAACTCTGCGCCGAATAGCAATATCAGTACTCTTTGCCAATCGCAGCCCACACATACAATGAAGCCTGATTAAGAAACCCTGCATTGGCCTATAGCCCATATAACCCCTATATATATATATATAGAGTATAGGATTCATATAAGTTTGGAACCCTACTAAAGGCCTTGCAGGGTTTCTTAGTCACGTTGCTACATTACCTAAATTCCTGGATCTTTAAAGGGTCGAAAGAAGACTGCTTCATCAACCAAACCTGAGTTTAAACCCTATACAGCCCTAAAGCCCCTAAAATCCTGAACCCTACAACCGTTATCGGGCTTATATAGGGTTCGGTGACATTCTCCCGTACGTTTTCGGAGGATTACAACAAAGACCCTGTGTTGCCTGAGCCTGAACTCTCATTGTCTATACAACTTTCTAGAATACATAGACAGGGCCGATAATTATAACCCCTATAAACCCCTAAGCCCCAAAACCCCTATAAACCCTAATTCCCCTAAACCCCTATAAACCCCAGCTATAAACCCCTATAAACCCCTATAAACCCCAAACCCCTAAACCCTATAAGTCCTAAACCCCGAAACCCCTATAAACCCTAACTTTCTAGAGTGCATTGATAGGGCCGATAGGGGGTTCAACGGGTTTATAGGCAAACGCCTGTTCCGAGATCAACTCTGCACCGAATAGAAAACCCCTATAAACCCTGATTCCCCTAAACCCCTATGAACCCCTAAACACCAAACCCCTATAAACCCTATATAACTTTCTAGAGTGCATAGATATAGGGCCAATAAGGGGTTCAATGGGTTTACAGGCAAAAGCCTCTTCCGAGATCATCCTTTCCCCCCAACAAAAGCTCTGAAAGTGACAAGCCCAGGAAACCCAGACACAAACTGGCAGTGCTTCTTGGGGATCGATGGGCTTGTTACAGCCTTCTTACATAGGATTGTTTTTGTGTGCTCCTGTTCATTATGAACTTTAAATTGGGGTTGTTCACACTAGGATCGAGGCCTTCAGCACCGCAGGGCTCACGCTGCCTATATAGGGCCTATATACACGAGGTAAGTTGCTGAAGACCAACATTCAGTTTATACTGCTTAATTACCTAGCTGGTTTCTGGGGTTTCTGTTTTCGAAGAGTTCCGAGCTTCTTTGGTGTTTGGGGCTCTTGGACAGGGAACGAAGGTTTGGAATGGTTTGGGGCTTCTCTAGCATGCACACATGTGCATAGACACATACATACTTACATATATGTACCCACATGCATACCTACATCCATACGTGCACACACACATGCATATGTATATCTACATATCTATATCTATACATATGTATATGTATGTATATATATATATATATCTATCTATCTATCTATCTATCTATCTATCTCTCTCTCTCTCTATATATATATATATAAACCTGCTAAGCTGGACGCCCCCACCCCTACACCCCACCACAACCTCCCCACACCCCCCGCCACACCCCACCACCGCACCACCACACCACCACAACCGCTTGCCCTACCACACCCCCCACACACCCCACCACACCCACCCACCACCCACCACCACCAAAAAGGGGGGTTAAGGAACGTAAAGGGCCACTATGCAAATCTTGAAGCCCAAACTCCCAGAAGGTGCATTCCAGTGCCCCATCATGCTATGATCCCTTCCCCTCTTCTCCCCTTCCCTTCCCAAATTTCGGCCTCGAGACCCCGTTCTTTTTCACAAGAAAAAGAACACGTAAAAGAACACCCGCAAGGGGAGAGCATCATGAACATCAGCCGGGTTTGGGGCCTGCCCTCCCCTCTCCTCTTCTCCCTTCCCCTCCCCAAATTTCGGCGAGACCCCGTTCTTTTTCACAAGAAAAAGAACACGTAAAAGAACACCCGCAAGGGGAGAGCATCATGAACATCAGCCGGATCATGAACATCAGCCGGGTTTGGGGCCTGCCCTCCCCTCTCCTCTTCTCCCTTCCCCTCCCCAAAT